GCAGCAGGAAAAAAAAGTCAGCAGCGCAAGTCGCTGACATGTCTCTCCCGGATCCGAGCGAGTTTTGTGCTGTGAAATACAGCGCTGCGTGCAATAAACTCACATTCAGGCAGGCGAAGTAGGTTTGTATTCAAGTCAATGAAATAATAACTTTAATGAATAAAATATCTTCGTAAGAATGTGATGAGTTATTCACTTCTCTGCCAGATAGGCTATATATACTGCTCTATGGTTTAAAACCCTTTTCAAACTGTATCGTTTAGACCTGGATCATTATTTTATATTAAATGTACAGTAGTTTATTGAGGATGTCTGATGACTAGCGCGCTTCTGCTGAGCCAGCTGTGGTAGCTTAGCAACCGAGTCGCGACGTCAACACACAGAATCTGTCAGCACAGTTCAGCACGGTTGTCTAACCGTGCCGAGAATTCCGGGCCGAGAACGGTTTGTAATCGTGCCGCGCCGTTCCAGGCTCAGTGGAGAAACAACCGTAACCGTACCGAAGTGTTCTTAAAACGGTTTGGCACGATAGTGGAAAAGCAGCTAAAGTAATTTGATTTTGAGTATTTGCCAATACCGAAACACAAAACAATACTTTTATAATCCATAAAGGCTTAGTAGAGACATGGGACAAGCTTCAAATGTCTGTGGTGAACGAAACATGGGGTACATCTCATAAAGGACTAGTAGTTTGTCAGAAATCTTCTTATAAAGGGAAAAGTGGTGGGAGGCATTCCAAATTGAGGTTCTACGTTTGTTTTTGAGGTGTCTTATCAGGTTTGTTGTGTTAAACGTAGCCTTTTTCTTTATGCCTCTTGCAATGCCAAGTTTACATATCTCACAATGTTGGCAATGGCAATGTTATCGTCATCAACTTTATAATACCTACATACCACAGACGTACTCGTACATTCCGCATCAAGCTGCTTTCGTGTTCTACTTTGCCAGGATTTAACCAAAAGTATCTCTGCAAAAAAGTGATGTCATGCCGCACGCGTTGCTGTCAGATTCCAATCAAGTCTGAAACCTTGTGATGGGATCTGGACATCCCTAAGCATTCACCACCTAAAAATATGCTGGTATAGTTGGCAGTTCTTTCTGCCGTGGCATCCCCTAATAATCAAGGGCGAACAAACAAATTCAGGAGAGCTCTCGAGACTTTCCTGAGCTTAGACTCCCCGTTTCATTAGGAGTGAGCCTTGGGGTTGAGGATCCTCTCAGCTCGGGGCTCTCTCCGGAGACATCCTGCCAAACACGATTTATTATCAATCATCAGCAAAGCGTGAACTCCTGAAATTACATATTTCAAATCAGCAACAAAACCTGTTTCATTATTGTTGTTGCTTAAGCACTAATTAAGCTTAAAACATGCTATTTCCAGTTTGATTTAGCAAAGGCTGACACAACACCAATCTCCTTTATGGCTGTTTCAGTGCTAACCAGACAGTCACAAACACTGGAAGAAGGCAAAACCTGCAGCAAAAGCTAGGGGACAACACTGGAAAGACAATATGTGACGTTTGTGCTGGCCTGTAATGTCATCCCTACTGTCAAAATTATTGCAGGCACACAGTTTTCACCAAATAGCATGAGTTGCGATAACAAACATGCACATCTGTACAGACTGCTCCCCGCAAGAACAGAGAATGTATAAAGACTGATGGATTCATGGGCTATTTCAACCACTGGGAGGGGCTTTTTACGTGTCTTCTTGTAGAAGAACTTGAAAAGGAATTCCTGGTGCAAGATTTTGACTGCTTTTTATATCTATTTTATAAGCTCTCTGTGAGTTCCTACCTTGTGACTTGTTTTGGATGTTCCGTAAGTTCTGTTACAAAATATTTATGTTAAAAGCCATGTATTTGAAGGGACAGCTGCAGAAGTTCTTGACTTGGCTCTTACGCGGTGGAGGCCTGATGTCCAAGTTTAGACTCTTGACACTGTTAAGAAGCTTCTCTGTTGGGGCTTCCAGTCTGGAGTGTTGAGGGTTTTGTGGGAGTTTGGGCCCATCTCTGATCGATGTGTCACTCACCATACTATAGATACATATTCTGCACCGGGGCTCTCATTGGTGAAGAGGTCATGGGATCTGGGTTTTAATTTGATATCTGCTTTGTTGGTATATTGACTCTTATAGATTGATAGCGGCCCCTTTTATATCTATTTTATAAGCTCTCAGTGAGTTCTCAGCTTGTGAGCGCACAGACTTGTTTTTGATGTTCCAAAAGTTCTGTAACAAAATATTCATGGTAAAAGCCATGTATTTTTAGATTTGGCTTTTTAAAAAAAAAGACAGCATGAACACTAAGTGAACCAATGCAAATGAGTTAACACTGCAAATGCACTTGTGAAGAAATTGTGAGGAATGCAAGTGCTCAAGATTGGTTTGAAGGAGTTCCACAAACAAGTTTGCCATTCTTTGTTATAAAATGTTATCTATAATAAGCCGACATCAGATAATAATGACATGTTTGCATGAACAAAAATATCCATTAGCCATTTCTTCAATAGTGCATTCAACGTCTGGTTAAATTGGATTGCAAATGCTCATTCAAAAACCAAAAATGTACTTGGCTGAATAAGTAACACTGACAAATAAGTTCACGTGTGTTCTCACTTCTCACTCTAGGTAAGTTTCCATTATGACTAACCATACTTAATAGTATTCACTTCAGTTCACTCAGTGGTTAGCACTGTCACCTCACAACAAGAAGGTCGCAGGTTCGAGTCCCAGTCCAATTGGCATTTCTGTGTGGAGTTTGTGTGTTCTCCCCGTGTTGGTGTGAATTTCCACCGGGTGCTCCAGTTTCCCCCACAGTCTAAAGACATGCACTATAGGGGAATTGAATAAACTAAACATGTTTGAATAGGAAAGTGCATGGGTGTTTCCCAGTACTGGGTTGCAATTGTAAGGGCATCAGCTGTGTAAAACATATGCTGGGAAAGTTGGCGGTTCATTCTGCTGTAGTGACCTCTGATGAATAAAGGGACTAAGCCAAAGGAAATGAAATTAAATAGAATCACATAATCAAACTAAAAAATAGCAGGACATATTGTGACTAACATCCAGTACATATCAGATAATTGACATAAAAGCCAAGCTTCTGCTTAAATAACCATATTTATTGCACATTTATTTCTTTTATTTATTTATTCTTTTTTTTCTTTTAAATTGTTAAACCAGATTGCGGGTGCTCTTTAAAAAGCCAAAAGTGAGCTTGGTCAAATAAATTCAATTGAATCAATAATTGTTCACCTCATTCATACAACACAACAATAATCTCACAAGCAAATAGCAAAGCATGAATAAGGTGCAGTCTTCTCTGCGTATCATTACATTACCACTACAGAATTTAGATGATGATTTTTAGGCACTCTTTTACATTTTTTCCTCAATTGCTTTGGCTCAATTCTCGATTGAAATTTTTACTTTATAAACAATACATTTAGGTCTCAGAACAATTAGCTTATTGTTCACTTCAGAGTGGCATTTATTATTGATTTAAGCATATTGCAAATGCTTTAGCACATGTGTGCAACCAGTAAGTAAAATTTTCTGTAGTATGGACAAAATGGATGAGTCAGTTCTCAATTAAACTGTCAAATTCTTCACAACTTCTTAATTATTTTTTATCGTGTAAGCCATTACACTCAAAACTGTTTATTCAATTATCACACATTTGTATCTGCATTTTTTCACCATAAATATCTGATTCTGACATTGCAATATCTGCTAAGTTGGAAAATGACCTCAAGTTGCGATACAATTTGCGATCTACTTATTAAATATAGTACCAGAATGTACACAGTTGAAGTCAGAATTATTAGCCCACCTGTTTATTTATTTTCCCTATTTCTATTTAATCAGAATTTTTTAAACACATTTCTTAGTTTCAATAACTCATTTTTAATAACTGATTCATTTTAGTTTTACCATGATGGCAATATATAGTATTAACTAGATATTTTTTAAGACACTGGAATGCAGCTTAAAGTGACATTTAAAGGCTTAACTACATTAATTAGATTAACTAGGCAGGTTAGGGTAATTAGGAAAATTATTGTATAATGATGGTTTGTTCTGTAGACTATCAAAAAATAGCTTAAAGGGGCTAATAACTTTGACCTTAAATTTTTTTTTTTAAATAATTTTTTTTTTTTTTTCAGCCAAAATAAAACAAATGAAACTTTCTCCAGAAGAAAGAATATTATCAGACATACTGTGAAAATGTCCTTGCTCTCTAAACCATAATTTGGGAAATATTTACAAAAGAAAAAAACAAATTTAAAGGGAGGACTAATAATTCTGACTTCAACCGTATATAGATTGCCCACAGCACAATCACTACATTCACAATCCCGAACTGCAGTAACATGCTTGTGGAAGAGCAATTGGAAGAAGTGTAATTTCTGAGTAAAAGAATGTCTACCAAGAATATTTTTTTTTCATGGATAAGTAATTCGACCAGCAATATTGCACTTTGCACGTAATACATTTGTACACAAATAAATTTACTCTATAAATACAAATGTTCCTTTATTTGTTTATTTTTTTTCTATGTACTTTTGACTCTTCTCAACAAATATCAAATTTTTTTAAACCTTAATTTTCATGGTTGACTGTCATGGTGAGAAAAAAAAGAATCCTTTTGACGAGCGAGTCTCACACAATAACAAATAGACTTTGTGTTTTGGTGGCATTGGCCAAATTAGTTACAAGTTAGCAAGGTTTTGAAGCATGGATTAAATGTTTTGGGGGAGTAACTACATTTTGCAAAGTTCTGAAATTCCATCAAACAGTTTTGAGATTTGCACCCACAATTTAGAGAATGTTAAGTCTGTTTTAATAAATGAGCCAAAGCAATTGAGAAAAACTGTAAAATCTGAATAAATAAAACAAAGTGTGTTATTTAAAAAAAAAAAAAGGTTTGTGTTTGTTCAAATAAATGGCTGGTTATTTCACACATGATATTTTAACAAATAAGTATTCACACATTTAATATAATGCACTGTTAATTTAATTTTATCACATTGTTTAAACTAGTTTGCTGTGCATAAGATGTAGGCTTTTTATCTTACAACACAGCAGGCAAAAAGTATTTAGTGAATCTGCAACATAGACAATGTTGCAATGAATCTTTTCTCCATAAATGATAGGTGTTGCAGATCACAGCTTTTTGGAGAAGAGTAAAGCACTATCTGCATGTTAATTGTTTAAATATACTCATTCATTTGCACACTTGTACTTCACTTCATTGTCCTCACAGCATTCCAAATCACTATGGTTTTCTTATAAAAGATTCTGAAGCAGTCTTTAGTTATTCTTTTGCATTACTTTTACCATGATGTTATCATATGGTGAGCAGTCCTCTTCCTCACCCTCCATTTGTTTTGCCAGCAAGGCCCTCCGTGGAGGTTTAGGAACAGCGTAGTCATCAACAGAAGCATTATACGGGTACTCATGGCCACTCGGATCCATTACTGTGCCCAGCATCTTCCAAGCATGACCTTTAACCTCCTCTGGTTCATCATAGAGTGATGGAGGTGCATTTGGGGCAACACCACAACCCTCCGGTTCATCATAGATGTGCTCAACTCTTTTGTATGAATGCGTTTGTTTATTTGCGAAACGGCTTCTAATAGCAGACTCATCTATGATGTCGTAAAGTGGTTCAGTGTTCTCTGCAGTGCCTTTCTTGTTATTTTCACAATTGGATTCCCCTGCGTTTGGTGGAAAGTTTGTTGTGGCAAAAATATCTACCATTACATTCTTGGCAATGGTATCGAAGGGCAGCGAATAGTCCGATTCCTCTGGGTTGGAGCACGTGGAACGTCTATCCTTCAGTTCTCTCTTCTCCTTTGGACTTCCTCTTTCCGGATCTGGGGCCATTGCCCGGGAATACATCTCGTCCTCGGTGTTGGCCAAGGGACAGCTGCGGAAGTTCTTGACTTGACTCTTTCGCGGCGGTGGCCTGGTGTCCAAGTTTAGACTCTTGACTCCGGTGAGAAGCTTCTCTGTTGGGGCGTCCAGTCTGGAGAGTTGAGGGTTTTGTGGAGGTTTGGCCCCATCTCTGATCGATGTGTCACTCACCATACTATAGATACCTATGTTCTCCACCGGGGCTCTCATTCGAGGTGGAGAGGGCATGAGATCTCGATCTGAATTTGACATCTGCTTTGCTGGTATGTTGACTCTGTGTAGATTGATAGCAGCTTCTACGGATTGGAAGATGGCGTTGCCTTGCTTTGTGTCAAACTCAAAGCTGCCTTCCCCGGAGTCGCATCTTCGCCCGGCCTCAAAGGAGAATGTTGCCTGTTTTATGAAAAATTACAGATGTAATTAGTTGCAGAATTAGTAGCATTAGCTTAAGATCATTTTCACCAGAAAGATGTTATGTTTTTAAAAGAGTGTGTTCCAACTTAGGGTGTACTACATTGAACCATTCCTAGGTGCGATTGTTCCCCCTTCTCCTTCCCACTCGGCCTGCACTCACACGTTTTTTTTTACCCTCCAAGCCCGAGCACACTTACATCATCGATGATAAGACTGTTCAGTTAGAAAGAGACGCGCTAAGTACAATGGAGATTGCTGTAGTTATATTGTTTTGTATTATTTTAAGTCGTTTGGAATGCAGTGATACACAGTCAAATCTTTTGCTGAACATATCCACCACTTTTGATGCTCAGAAATGTTCATGAAAGTCATTGTGCTGCACGTATTATGAGGTTTACTGATGGTGGCACCTGAGGTACAGCAAGGTGTTCGCATCTTTAATAAACCATAACAATTCGTGGGAATTAAAATGTAAGAATGAATAATAAATCCACTGGAAACAGTCCCTTAAAAATGAAGTCGTGTCTTCAGTTTTTCCTATTCAGGTGCGCTTTGCAATCACACTACAAACATACTACGTCTGACCCCAAGCCAACCACAATCTAGACCACCTCTTCCAAACGGCAAGAGCTGGCCAACTGAACTCTGCCCGGGCACAATTTAGAGCACTCAAACTTGTCAAACGAACCGGGAAATGGGATGAAATGTGCACCGGCACAGTTCCTAGTCTGAGTACACCCTTATGCTGTGTTCACACCAGACGCATCCTGCACGGTTAAATCACGCTATTTGCATGTGAACGTTTTGAGTTTACTTATTTTATTTGGGTGTTAAATCCATTTCAATCGCGCATCAAATTCACTTCACAATTGACATGGATTTGTCTCATGTGAAGGGCTTTTGTCTGCCCGATGACTCTAGCTTCGTTGCTAAATGGCTAACATGGATTTAATTGAGGGAATAACTGTGTTTATGTTCTTTATTATGGCTGAAATACAGCGTTATTTGTTTGGAGCAGTCTTTGAGTCCACTAGATCCTTTCAGAGGTGCACCCAGGTCTGTGAGTTCATAAACTCCCCCAGAAACTTAACTTGGATGATCGAGGCTTTCAGCAGTGCTTGCGACTGAGCCGAACCCAGTTTGATCAGCTGTTGTGTCGGCAGGAGGATTTCCCTCCAGGACAATAACAACAGGCGTTATGTCATAAGCACGCCCCTACAAGCGAAAGCTCCTGATTGGTTAACGCAGCGCGGATGTTCGTTGAAGTTCAGATATTCCAACTCGAGCGATTTGCGAGCGATCAATTGCACGAATTGCATCATTCACTCCGCAGGATGTCTATGTCGATCTTTGCATTGACTTAACATGTAAATCCCTTGCGCTTGACCCTTCTTCCACGTCTGGTCTGAGCACAGCATTAGTCTTCCATTCTAAGTTTGTCAAAGTCGACTTTGACTCCCAACTCATACTGTAAGAGTTGATGGAATCGACTTTACTTAACATTTACTTTATATAAAAACAGGGTCAGGAATAAAAGCCTTAAATTGCAGCTATATTCCACATTTAATTTATTTTTCTCCTTCTACATTTGCCTTATTTCAAAAATACACTTTCAGCTAAACTGTATGATTACACCTGAAGCACTAAAGTCACATGGACTGGTTTGACAATGTTTTTGGCTCCTTTTCTAGACTTTGAATGTCTTTGAATGATGAGGGCGCTCTTAGATTTCCTCTACATCAGTAATCAAATTATTTGCCTTAATCTGATTAGGACAATAATATAATTAAGGTGTTTACATCGTTACTTTTTGAATGTTCCTTTCATGATCTCGTTTTACATGATTTAGCACATAGATCAATTAACGTCATTGCATTACCACGCTCTCCCTGTATCCTCAAGAGTTTCATGTAATTATGGGTGTTTCATTTTTAATTTTTCAGCTTTAACTGCACTAACTGCATTTAACTGTTTCACTTTTATTCAGGAACATTTCCTTTTTGCCCCCATGACAAAATAAGGTATTGTATTCGAGTATGAATTAAGGACTGGTGGAAGAGTGTTGTTTTAGTAGATTAAACTATTTGGTCCCACTTTATATTAAGTGTCCCTAACTTCTATGTACTTACATCAAAAAAATAAATAAATACAATTTACTTACTGTGTTTATAATGTATTTGAGAACACTTGTGGTGATTTTGGGTTGGAATAGAGGTTGGGTTATGGACAGGTTTGGTGGCATGGGTAGGTTTAAGGGTAGGTTAAGGTGTAAGGGATGGTCAATAGTGTATTGTATTGTAAGCATAAGTACACAGTAAATACATGTATTTACACAATAAGTACATTGTAACAAACTATTAGTTCCTATGTAAGTGCATATTAGTTAAGGCCACTTAATATAAAGTGGGACCAACTATTTAATTTGACTTGATACAGCACACATGACGGTAATAGTTTGATTGCTGTGTGTACATATCTGTTCTGCACTTCAATAATGCGACTAAAATTGGCATACTTCATGTCTTAATCCAATTTCTGTTTTGTTCGATTATGACCTTAATCAGATTAACTTATACAAAAATTATTGTTTACATACTCTTAATCAGAGTATTGCCTTAATCGGATTAAAATTTAATTTAAATAATCATTTGGGGTAAACTAGTTATTTAAGAATCACACATTGACACATCTTGTCGTCTAACTAACATTAAATGATTGACTACAAAGTATTTTCAAAGGCATACCTTGTCTCGTCCGAACCTGCGGAGGAAACGGTAGGGCCAGGAGTACAGGACCTCTCCTGTCTTCGGGTCTTTGAGAAGAAGGCTATCAGTATCAGTCCGTAAAAGTACTACTCCCTTCAGACTGCATCTCTCAGAAGCCTCCGATCGCCTCACTGTCACCTTAAAGTCTTTCATTGCTGCAGACAACAGAGAAGAAGCTTCACATGAACGATGTGCCCAGAAAACAGAACATATATCAGACACTTTTCACTCAGATACTCTACACTTCACCTAAAAACCAACAATGAAGTCAGCTCATTTTTAGAGGGCTAGTTTGAGTTAAATATTTGTGAAAGCTTTGTTTAGTTTGTTTTACTGTTTATTCCTGTCTGCTGCCTGCGTTTAGACCATCCGCCTGTTTATAATCACGACTCAGGATTTCCCTGCACCTGTACCTGTTTTGACCCTGTTGACCATTGCTAGTCTGACCATTCTTGTTAATAATCCTGCATTTAAATCCATTTAAAATTAAAATACATATATTTTTTTTATCCTAAATATTAATATACCTGTTTAATTCAAATTATTTTGTATATTCAAAAACATTCTTATAAAATATTAAAGGCTTTTCTCTGTGAATAATTATAGATTTCCATCTGTTTTCAGCTCTTTTTTCAAGCAGATGGTATGTATCAAAGGTTACATTCTCACATATGTACAGCATAATAGTTTTTTTTTCTTCAAGTGCACAGATTTAGCACATGCACTGCTGTGAAACAGGCATCTTATTAGCTGTTTTCGGTTAAGAAAGGTCAACACCCCGTTCGTTACTGCTGAACTACATGATGAACTCTGCGGTGTGCTTGTTTCCGCTGCTTCTCCAAAGGGATTGACTGTTAGAGGCCTCGCCATGCAGATGTTTTTCTACACGGGAGCAGACATGGGTGATGAAACTCCATTAATTTCCTGAGGTGAATTGTCAAAAGGAGATTTTTGCTCATGCTAATTTAGTTCAGAAGCAGTCGATATATAACTGGAAATATATATTTTTAGCCGCTGAATCATGGCCATTATAGTTAACTAAAACCAAAACCCTTAACTAAAACTTTTCTAAAATAAAATAAAATAAAATAAAATAAAACAATGTTATGTTGTAGTAATAGGGCTTGTAGAAATGGCTTAGTCCTTTATTTATCAGGGGTTACCACACTGGAAAGAACCGCCAACTATTCCAGCATATGTTTTACACAGTGGATGCCCTTCTAGCTGCAACCCATCACTGGAAAAACCCCAATCACACACACATTCACACTCATAAACCACAGCCAATTTAGTTCACCCTATTCACTTATAGAGCATGTCTTTGGACTGTGGGGGAAACTGGAGCACCCTGAGGTAACTCATGCCAACACGGAGAGAACATGCAAATTCCTCACAGAAATGCCTAGTGACCCAGTCGTGACTCGAGCCAGCGACCTACTTGCTGTGAGGTGACAGTGCTAACCAGTTGCGTTTCTAGTTTAAATGGCACCTTAGGCGAACCACCCAATATACAAGCTATCAATCCTAAATGTAATTGGAAAACAATTTAAAGACACAACTGGAGTGGTACGTTTAGATCATTTAAGAAGTCATTGGCATGAATATTAATTGTGACAGTTTTCTAGAATTATCTGTTGTCTTAGACCCGACTTAATAACATCATATTTTATGAACTTTAGTTTTGTTGACTTGCAACCGGGATTCACACCGGGAGTGTGTGTGTAAGGTGCACGGGAATGTTTTTTTTTTTTTTGCCAAAACTGTTGTTTCAGCTGCACATAGACAATAACAAACTTGCATGTCCAAAAATGTCAAATGTGAATGGCCCCAAACATAATTATTTTGGGATTACCACTCTAAATTAATACACTTGCATACAGTAAATTGTTTGTCAAATTTACTGGGGCACTGTTAATTTTTACTGGGCCACATATTTTATTTATTTATTTTTTTACACCGACAACCCGTGCCTCCCCCAGCAAGATGCTGCCCTGGGGTGTGTTTCCCCAAAAAAACACATAACTCGTGGTTAAACAATCATTGTGCGATGCATACATAATTTGGGAAAAGAGCAATATAGTAATGAGTATTTCCCTAAACCGTAGTTTCTGTTGCAGATCCATCGTTTGAACCACATTTGTTATAACATAAAACCTCCTTAATGATGTTCTAAAGGTAGTGGAGTAATAACTTTAAAGAGAATATCCCCAGAACGTTTTTGTGCAAATTGTTTTACACACACACACAAACACACACACACACACACGCACACACAGATTTTAATTGAAATATTTGTAAATGGCACATACAGGGCCTATGTTTTCTTTACAAATATTATTGAGAATATTCCATATTCTATTCTAAAACTAAAAACCACTTACAAAAAAGCTAAGGTATGCTAATCTCATATAAATCATCACATTTATGGTTTTAATTTATACTAGAATCTTTATCAAGAAATTAAAAAAAAAACATTTTACTACATAATAATAAAATTAATACAAAACAAGAGACTACGTAAAAGTTATATGTATGTATAATTTTTAAGTAGTCTATTGTTTTTTTTTTTTTTTTATGTCAACTTTTACAGCTTTGACGCATTTAAACCACTGCAGAAATGTTCTAGCAGGCCCAATGCGGTACATGTACAGTTGAAGTCAGATTTATTAACCCCACTAAATTATTAGGCCCTTTGTTTATTTCCCCCCCCCATTTTCTGTTGAACAGAGATAAGATTTTTTTTTTCCAACACATTTCTAAACATAAGACATTTAATAACTCATTTCGAATAATTGGTTTATTTTATCTTTGCCATCTTGACAGTAAATAATATTTGACTAGATATTTTTCAAGACACTTCTGTACAGCTTAAAGTGACATTTAAAGGCTTAACTAGGTTAATTAGGTTAACTAGGCAGCGTAGGGTAATTAGGCAAGTTATTGTGTAATGATGGTTTGTTCTGTTCTGACTATCAAAAAAAAAAATATAGCTTAAAGGGGCTAATAATTTTGACCGTAAAATGGTTTTTAAAAAGTTAAAAACAAAATAAATAAAACCAAAATAAAACAAATAAAACTTTCTCCAGAAGAAAAAAAAAAAATATATATATATATATATATATATACAGTTGAAGTCAGAATTATTAGCCCCCTTTTGATTTTGATTTTCTTTTTTAAATATTTCCCAAATGATGTTTAACAGAGCAATGACATTTTTACAGTATGTCTGATAATATTTTTTATTCTGGAGAAAGTCTTATTTGTTTTATTTCGGCTAGAATAAAAGTAGTTATTAATTTTTTTAAAAACATTTTTGGGACACAATTATTAGCCCCTTTAAGCTAATTCTTTTTTGGATAGTCTACAAAACAAACCATCATCATACAATAATTTGACTAATT